CAATGCAATCCATTCGTCCTAATTCACAAAACTCACAAAGTTACCCGAAATACCCCCAGACTCACCCCGTTTCCCCCTACCGATCTACCCCCAGGTACCCAGTATCCCCACCCTAGCATCCCTACTATTATTCTACCATTTTTCCGTATTTTTATCGGCCACCGTTCTATCCCTATTCACCCTACGATCATCCCTGCCCATATTCCCCATTTTATCCATAAATAACCCAGCCCGTTTCACTATATACGCCCTACCTACCCGCCCTACCCATTCCCCAGCACCCCTACCCCATCCCCTACCCCCTACCCTACCCCTAGGACCACCCCCGTACGCCCTACCCCATCACCCTGGGCCACCCGGCCACCCAGAATCACCCCCCGGCCGCCCCAGTAGCCAGCCCAGTACTGGCATTTATAATTCTTGGGCCAGAGGAACCTTTGTAAAGGATCCTATCCTTACTAGCAGGTACCTTTATAAAGGAGGTACATCCTCTGGTGTGAGGAAATGAATATGACACGGTGAGAAAAAATGTGGGGAGCTCAACAAGGTTTGGGGGAGGAGGAGGGAGTGGATGGGATGCACCGGAAGAACGTGGACACGTATCAACAAAGCGGACAATGGGAGCATTTTCGGAGGGATTGAACGCCCCAGGAGACACTAAGACCAGAGAAATGCTACGGTGTAAAAAAGGCGTACAGCCCGATTAGTGTTTAGGTGAGGATGAGGGAGTAGATGGGACGCACTGGAAGAACGCGGACACGTATCGACAAATGGACAACGGTAGCGTGTTCGGAGGGGTCGAAAACCCCAGGAATGACAGAGATGAGAGGGAAAATGTGGATAGAAAAATGGGGAGGGGAGTTAATTGGTGTTTGAGGGAGGGAGAGGGAGAGATGTTGACGCACCAGACGAACGAGGTCACGTGTTGACAAACGGAGAATGCGAGCGTGTTCGGAGGGTTGAAGAACCCCCGGAACCACCAGGAAAACAGAAATCACACAGGTAGAAAAAATCTGGGGAGCTCAGTAGGGTTTTATTGAGGGGGAGGGGGAGTATGACATACCGGAAGAACGAGGCCACGCGTTGATGAACGGACAACGTGATCATGTTCAGAGGGCTTGAAAACCCCCATAACCACCGAGAAAACGGAAACGACGTGGCCAGAAAGAATGTGGCGAGTTCAATAAGGTTTGGGGGAGGAGGAGGAGGAGAATAGGACGTACTGAGAGAACCAGGACACGCGTTGACAAACGGACAACACCATTGTGTTCGGAGTGCTCTAAAACCCCCAGAACCATCAAGAGAATAAAAACAACGCACCTAGAAAAAGATAAATGGCCTGATTTCTGCTTGGGGAGGGAGAGGGCTGTGCTCTCCCTTCGAAATTGAGGCCTAGATGGTTGTGGTTGGTGCCAGGAGCTGTAATGGGGAATAATGTGGACACAACATGTCAAACACACTACACCCATCACACACTCAGAAACAGGAGGAGGAGCAGGAGGAGCAGGGAGGTCGATGTGAGCTGGCAGCCACAGAGCACGCAGGTGGCCGGTAATTTCCGGGATGACCCACCGGACCCGCGGGTACCCACCTCACGGGTCCGGGTTGGCCTCGGGTGACAAACTCATGACCCGGACCCGACCTGGCTGGGTCAGGGTACAGTACCCGGCTGGGTTACCCAGACCCGGGTCATTCCCTACGGACTAAGTACCTACCTCAAACCTACCTAACCTCGGGTCCGGGATTCACATTCCGCGACCCCCTTGGGGCGGAGGGGGGTAGGGCCTTAAATGCGAAAGGTAAGATCCGGTAAGGAACTTTACGTGTGCCACCCCCTTAGACCCATTGGGCATTCCGAATTCCGTAAAAAGGATGCCACAACTGTGCCACATTGATCGGAATACTTCCAGGTGCCCGTGGGGCCGCAAGACAGTTTAATTGTGATTATACAACATTTGGTGAAGTATTGGGCCATGCACTTTCGCCCCAGTTACCAGTACTCGAAGGTGTTTAGCATCACATTTGAAACTTGAAGTGTCTGACCCCGTGCCCGAAGCTACTTGGTTGCTACTTGGCATCCATACTCGAGGGAATTTGACTCCTGTGGAAGACAACATACTCCCCTTTGGTTGCAGAATATGATACCATTGAGCTTTATACTCCACCAAAGCTATGGTCGGCGTACAGCGTCGAGAGCCACACAGCGAGGCAGCATGCGCCACACAATGAGCCCGCATGCTCGAAAAGGAAGAATCCACTTGCCCTATTTGGGCCTTTATCCGATCCAAATTAAAGTATTACTGTACTTTTTCGACCAACTGTTCGCCCGATTAGGAAATTCCTAGGGTTGGGGTTGGCCGATGAACCTCGATTTCTAATCGGAGTTCATCGGCACCCTCAGATTTTTCCCCGCGTGACGCGTGACGAACAGTTGGTCGTAAAAGTACAGTAGATTACAGTTACAGGGTTTTGCATAAGAAATCGGAATGTCGCATCTGAGAAAAATTGGGTGCCTGGGTGTCTGCGACCCGATTTGGTTTCATCTCGGAGAAACCGACCAACAAGTCACAGAAGTGTCACTGTGACGGTCGTCACTTCGTTTCGGAGACGACGAAACGCCGTGTCGCGTCGCGTCCCATCAACCTTGCTCCCGACCACCACCACCCGCCGTTAGGCTTTCTATGTTGTTGCGCATCTTCCGACCAACGGAACGTGCACTCCGTCATCGCTCAGAGCCGTATACTTAATCAAGTTCACGGTCTATCAGTTCGCCAGTGTTGCGTATAGTTGGATTGTAAGCGGCCGGGTGTGTTCTGTTCGCACTTTCATCCCCTCTGAGCTGGGATCATACTGACCCGGTCCCAATTCGCCGCTGCTCTCAACGGTGAACCTTTCAGAACGTGTTTCAAACCCTGTCAACTCACAATGCCCTGCTGTGCACTACGCACAACCCTGAGGTTCGGTCTTTTCCTGTATATATTTTTCAGTCTTCCTGCGTGTTGAGCGCATCACTGCTCATTTGAAGATCTCCATCCATTTTCAGTGGTGAAAAAAATGGTTTGCGGCGACGATCATTGGGAAGGCATAAAGGAGGGAGTGAGAGCTGGTTCGTAGTCTCCAGCCTCCCATCTTCTACCGCTTCTCACATTGATTCCTGAACAACCTCGATGCCGAACGACAACCCCAACTTACCACCCGGCGACAATGGCCGATTACCCTCTCAACAAAATCAGGCCGACGACCCTTTCGTATTCTATCACCCTCCTGAACACCAGAACGTCCCGCGCCCTGCTTCGGATGGCTGGCTACGTCGTCCAGCATGGATCGGTATGTTCTGTACCTCCGTTGAAAATTGATTTCCCTATGGCTGACTGATTTTACGTGTAGATGGAGGTGTCCAGCCCCCACAGTTCTACCATACCCAGCAGGACATCGACGCCAATCGACGTGCACACTTCCCTCGTATTCAGGCATTGCACGAGATAGACCGACGTGTGCGTATATTCATTCTTGTACATCTGGTTTCATGTTGACTGAATAACTTCTCTACTAGGCGGCTTTAGCTCAACGACAACAGCAGCGTACTCCGACCCCGAACCCCGTTGGCCACACCCGCAACACTATCTCGAACGCTCAGCAGCTGTCCGCTGCCGACGATAACGTCCTGGACCTGGAGGAGATGTCAGATGATGAAGACGACGTCGTCGAGGTCTCTGGTCCATCCGCCCGTGCTGGTACAGTGGCAGCGGGCGGGCCTGCACCTGGGGCTGGCAATGAACCCGCTTCTGACGAGGGTTCGTGTTCCACATTTGTTTTTTTCTATGTTTCAGTCAGAGCTGATGTTCATCATGTATGCTAGGCTTTCTCGTCAACGTGGTTCTTCACAAGACGGTATTTGAGACGGGTTCTGCGCGTGGCGGTTCAAAGCTCGTCGAGAAATCGAAGGCGATCCCGCAGATGACGAGGATCAAGCTCACCCCCGAGTGGGTACGTTCCCAATTTGTTCAAGCTATTCTTCATTGCCACGGGCTCGATGACCGGTATACTGCCGGCCCAATCTGCGGTCCGGACTTTCTTTTGTGGTGGACGGGCTATACGTACGTGTCTTCCTTCTCTTCGACCTGAATTATCCACTCACACACCCTACAGGAAAGCCTCAGCCGCGACCATCAAGACCGAAGAGCATTGGGTGACAGCCCTTACTGCTATCCTCGCGAAACGTGGAGTTTGCAAGATTTTCGTCGATATTGATGCGAAGGCATTGAAAGGCTTTTGTAAGGTTGAACCAGTACGTCGTTTCCGAGAAACTCTTGCGGACTCAGTTGCTAAGACAGGCATAGACTATCGACACTTCAGGTGTATTCCCACAGGCGGACAATACTTCTGCTCTTGATGAGCTGATTGCGGGCACTCATGTATGCTCGTTCAATGTCCATTTTTCTTCCTATGTCGTGCTTAAGCCATACTCTAGGTCCCGCAGGTCGGCACATTCTCGCGCATGGCCCAGCTCCACGGTGGTATCATTGAAGAGCTCAAGAAATTGCACAAGGACTGTGCGGAGCACAGGACCGAGAACGGTGACAGTGGAATCTGCTACCGCCACGGCAATATCCACGTGATCCTGAACATGCGACGCCTCGCTATTTGGGCCGCTGCCATAGTACGTTCTTCTTGTTCTATGATTACTTTTTCTTTTTACTAAGACCTTCTCTAGGCTGCTGGCCGTGCAACTGTCTATGAGCCTCCCAAAGACTCGCCAGAGTTCGGAGGTCCTCCAGAACCGAAAGCTCGTGGCCGGACTGGTCCCCGTCCTCACCGCGACCCTGAGCCAGTAGCTGGACCTTCGACAATGGCCGATATCGCGCCCGTCCTCATGACCGTTGTGGCCAAACAAGCTATGGACCTCATGGCTGGCCCCAGCTCACGTCGCCGTCGCTCCTACTCGCCGCATACCCCTCGTCGATCATACCACTCGCGCTCTCCCGTTCGTCGCCGCCGCCGCTCAGCCTCCCCTCGCTCTTCACCCGTTTCCCAATCCCCTATTCCAGCGAAGAGTAACGAGTTGCACGCTTGCCTGGTTGCACTTCGCGCCGAAGAGGACATTGATATGCTCTGTCACGAGGACGCTCTCGCCGCCGAAGACTTCACCCCCGACGTTCTTTCCATGGTCAGTGTCAAGGACCTTTGTGACTTGACGGGTGCTTTGAAGGGACGGGTTTTGAAGCTGCAGAGGTTTGCTGTGAAGTGGTGCGAGATTTTGGAGAAGAAGCGCAGACAGCGTGCGTAGATGATCCTCATCTTACTTTCTGCCGTCGTTGTCCTTTCTATATGCATTTTGGGCTACGTTCCATCTGACTATGCTCTCGTTTTATCTCTCCCTCTTTCTACCTAATCACCCTCCCCGATCATGTTATATGTTATTTCTGCAGTCCAACTCAGTACCGCTCTTTGACTCGTACTGGTCCTCATCCCGGTTCTTGTCCGTCATGCCCCCTCTCTCACTATGTCTGTTACATAATACTGTCACTACTCAAATATATGTCATTTTCGGCTGAACTACCCTCTCTGTCTCATGAGTACCCGCAGTTCCTGATCCACCCGGCTGCATCATCCTCGGTGACCGAAAAAATTGCCCGTTGAATTAGCCAGGGTCTGACTTCAGGCCGTGTGGCCTCATCTTCATGCCGTCGTAGCCATGCCTTGATCGAGCTGAATGCTTGTTCGATCGGGTTCATGTCTGGCGAGTAAGGTGGAAGGTAGATCAACCTGGCCCCTGAATGATCTGGTTGGCCTCAACAGAGTATCGACAGTATAAGATATGCTTACCGCACTCTGTAACGACGATTCGTCTGATCTCCTCATCGTGGTGTATAGCGCAGTTATCCATCACAACAACACTACACACTCCATGTGGGTTCAAAAGAGGGGCCTGCAAATTGTTAGACTTTGACCGATTGATGCCGAGTTACTACTACTCACAAGATGAGTTTCAAGATACTCAATGAACCTCTCCTTTGTGACACTTCCTTCGAAAATATCCAGTGCGACGATACCGTTTACCGTGAGTGCAGGAAGTATCGAATAACGCTGACCACGGATGAATGTGTCGCGCCGCACACACGCTGTCCCAATCTCCGCCCAGCCCATCGTTCGCTGATTCGTGAGATCGTCTACGCTTGACTCATCTAGCCATACTATATCCTCTTTGTTAATCTGCCCATTCTCCGCAATCCACATTGATCTGACCAGCTCGTTCCTCTCCGCTGCGGTTTTGGCGATATTCTTGTGTGACAGCGCAAGACGACGCATTGTGCGAGAAAGTGTGGCAACGGAGACTTCGACGTTACGATTCTCAAGTAGGTCTGACTGCACCTCGTCAAGAAAGACACCAGGATTTCTCTGGACGAAGGCTTTGATGTATGCGAGGTCATCCATCTCGAGCAGTCGCGACCGAGCTCGCTGTTGGACAAATGGATCGCTGACGGTCCCAAACTCGCGATAGCAGCGCAGGACTTCGTAGACGGTGGATGGGCTGCAGCGAGCACGGAAAGCGATCTCCTGGACTGGTAGATACTCATCGAGGCGCCACTCGACCATGAGCCATTTGACTGCGTCGGACAGATGGGGTGCCATGGCTGGTGAACGTGGGCGGGACAGGCGCTCAATTGTCACGCATTTCCATTCATGGCTCACGCTCTCTCGTGGTTTCTCCGAAAGACAGCCAAATGCGGCAGTAGGCGCCCAGGCACATGATTTTTCTCAAACGAAATGTTCCGATTTCTTACAGCCGTTTGCATATGAGATCGGAGTGACGCGCGGAGAAAAAAAGTTGGGCGCCTCAACCAAACAAAACCATAAACGGCAGTTCATCTCGGCGCAACTTCGGCAGGCTCGTGTGTTGCTCGTGTGGCCCAACCACGTCTTGACTTCCGCCTTGTTTGCGCTGCCATTGCACGGGCTCCCCGCTTCATATGCTTACTTGGAAGGTCTTCGACTGGCTCTTTGACTGGTTTTCCTCTGCGTTCGCAATGCACTTGACGAAACGATACACTGTCGACAGGTGATAAGTAAGGTACCGCCTCCCAAGGACTCTGCATCTTCAAGCATTCACGCCATCACAATAGCCGACCATTTACCACAAGCTGACCGGAATCTGGACAAACATTACATGTCAAGTTATTGTCCCTCCCCTCTCTCGACGTAGGCACCACAAGCGTTCAAGTTGCATCGTGGCAGTGACGGCCTCGGGACATCCATATGTCAGGCGCAGGTGGGTTGAGGTTAATGTTCTGTGCGAAAAGGCATCGCAGAGGTGGAGTTAGTCGTGTAGCTGTGAGGTGAGTGGGGTGATAATCTCAGTCAGTCTGGTATACGTATGGTGCGTTTTGTTAACTTGTCCTGTTCGAGTGTTTGCGAGTAGTAATCGGTGAGGGTTTGCGGGTGTATCGAAATAGTCGCCATTGGTCGACTGTCGAGTGGTACTAGCTTTCGTTATTCATGCATATGCAGCCTACAAATATTCTCTCCTCATCTCTCTTTCGATCCTTGTCACCACACACTTTGCGAAGGTCCCGTCACCTTTCCACACTCTCCTGCTTTTGGTTTATGCTCGTCTGCGCTTTTTTTCTTCTTCGGCCTAAGCTCGGCCGTAACTGTTTGTTCGGAGGCACTCTGGCGTCCTTCGCTGATCTGTGAGAGGGCAATAGCATGCTCGGTAGTTGAGTGTCTAAGCTGTGTGACGACGCCTCGAAAGGTTTCCTGGTGAATGTAGTATATATTTTACTCTTCTTTCAGATCTCAGTCACATGCACTAGCTCAACCTCTCGTGAGGGCCATGCAGTTCTTCTCGCGATATGTGGAAAATAGTGGCAAGAAAAGTTATTCAGAGACAATTATAGCGATTCTATGTAATACACATCAGCCTGGCTTTGAACGACGGTGCCACTGCCGAAGCATGCCGAGGCGGACTGCCGTTTATGGCTTTGTTTGGTCAAGGCGCGCCATTTTTTTCTCCGCGCATCACTCCGATCTCATATGCAAACGGCTGTATGCAAAACCCTGTAACGAGAGCTTCCTGGTCCCGTCACTGGGTCCCGTCTTACTTTTCCGCCACTAACTATCTTGTCTCCCAATGCTTTCAATCTTAGCTTTCCCCTTCCACGTCATTGCCAGTCTTATTCGCTATATATTTGGCCGCTTGCACATCTCCTTGCCAACATTTCCTTTCTCCTCGCTCAACTTCTACCGCCCCATATGGCCCAACAGCGTCGGCCACGCATCCTCGTCCGATCCTTACAGCGTCGCAGATCGTTGGGTGCGGGCCCTTGAAGACGAGACGGGCGCTCTCTGTGTCAGTCATGCACGGGTGGGACGTGCTTCGGACAGTGATGCTGTCGAAGGCGTAGCAAGCTCGTCGAACGTCGGGTCACTATCGAATAGTACAGGGTTGAGGACGAGGTATGGTACGATCAGCGCAAAGGTGCTGCCTGACTTCACGTTGGGGAGTTATGAGGACGCACTCCAAACTTGCCAGAGGGAAGTCAGGATCGGCTGCATCATTCTCGTGAGCGACGAACATGATGATGTCCTCGAATTCAAGCGGTAAGCCTCAGACGTCCCATTCGTTACTGGGCTGATACGGTGAGCTGCATACTTATGCATTCTTCATACCATGCAGGAATACATTGACCGACCCGACATTCGTCGACCTGTTGCATACGAATAACTTCGTTGTCTGGGGTGGTGATGTGCGTGACAAAGAAGGCTGGGCTGGTGCGATCTCTACTCCTCGCGGTACTTACTGTACAACCATAACATTTACTGTATCTCTTTCTTTATAGCATCCCAAAAGCTCCAAGCAACAACATATCCCTTCGTCGCGTTTGTCTCCCTCCAACCTCCCCGTGGCTTCACTTCTCGCCAGTCCTCGACCTCAAGTAACAGCACGCCCTCCCTGACCATCCTGTCTCGTCATCAAGGCGCTTCCGCCACGTTACCCCACGTTCTCAGCACACACATCAGCACCCAGCTCCTCCCCCGGATCACTCCCTTCCTGGAACGGATTCGCAATGCGAACCGGGAACGCGATCTCGAGCGTCGTTTGAGGGCCGAGCAGGATGCCGCATTCGCCGAGAGTGCGAGGCGGGACCGCGAGAAGATCGAGATGCGGGTGAGAGAGGAGAAAGCTGCGGAGGAGGCGAAACGGCTGGAGGAAGAGAAGGCGATGCAGGAGGAAGAGAGGAAGCGGCAAAGAGCGCAGGTGAAGAGGAGCTGGAGGAAGTTGAGGCGAGGAGAGCTGATTCCTGCCGAGGCGAAGGAATTAAGGATGGGCATTCGGTTAGGTGACGGAGAGAGGTTAATGCGTGGATTCGCCAAAGCCGACAGTGTGACAGCCTTACATGCGTTCGTGGACGCGCATCTGGTACCTGCCGAAGAAATCTCAGAGAAGGACGAGGTCATCTTTGACCAAGGTGAAGATGATGAATATGAGATTGTACGAATGATTGAGGACGCGGGCCAGTCAGCGGATGAATGGTGGGGTTTCAAGTTGTTCACCGCATATCCACGTCGCGAAGTCGCTTGGACACCCGGCACGAAACTCGCTGAAATCCCAGGACTTGAGCAAGGCGGTCAACTCGTTGTGGAGATGGTCGACGTTGATCGGAGGCGAAGCTCGGAGAGTCAGAGGGTTGGAGATGGGGACGATAGTGATGGCTATGAGACGGAGTAGTTTATGGTTACCTTACAACCCTCTGAATGTCCTGCTTTCTGTAACGCTCTTGCACGGACCCTTTTTTGACCTATAACTTATTTCATTCTTTCAATACCTCCTCTCATTCATGGATGGCCTGAACCCTCAAAAACTCATAGAAGCGAAGTAAGACAGTGCCCGGGCGCCAACCAATCCGTTCCTCGAGCCCCTAAGGATGCGGTGAATTCGTACAGGAAATGCTACATGGATATATGTGTCCTTCCATCCACCACGAAACCATCGAAACAGTGTAGCAGTCTCTTCATCCGATGAACCCCACGATAAAGCGTGGCATTACAGGGAGAATGTTTACTGGCTAAGAATCGTGCGCACAAACGACTCGTAGTTCACGTTCCCATCGCTGTCAAGATTCGATGTTAGGTGCATCGCGAGTCGAAAGACCAAAAGGCTGAGGTAGATGGAGAGAACTCACGCGCCAATCTGCACACCCTTCATCAACTCATCAACTTCCTCTTCCGACATCTTCTCGCCCAGTTGTGTGAGGACGTATCGCAACTCTCCAGCGCCGATGAAGCCATTGCCCTCCTTGTCAAACACTTGGAAGCCACGAATAAATTCCTCTGTTAGGCGATGGCACCCGTCAGCACGAAGAATGAGATCGTTGTTTGGGTATCAGCCACGTAGAGCAGCGATGAAGGTTCAACGTGTTCAACGAAGAGGAGAATAGAGATCGCAAAGGGATGAGTCGGGATGGATTGGCACGGTCAATTGGTTGAGACGTGTGTGAGAGTGTGTGTGCAAATAAGACGACGAACCCGGTGTTCCCGCAGGCTTAAACCCATCCGGTCGGTTCAAGATTGTCAAGAATGTTTTATAATCCACTATAAACATCAGCCCACCAACACATATACAATCACGCCCATTCGTCCAACCAGCGATCAACCATCCGAATCAACCAATGCAGTAGTTCAGAGGTAGGTTCCATTGACAGAAGAAAAGGAAGGGAGCAAGGCGTACCATCTCTCGGCGCACCATTCACGATATCCGCCACCTCAGCCTGCGTAGGGTTCTGACCCAGTGCGCGGAGAAGATCACCCAGAGTCTCTCTTGGGACAGCACCGGTTCCTTTCTTGTCGAAGAGGGCGAAGGCCTCCTTGTATTCTGTTTACGGTGGTATAATCCAACGTGTCATCAATAACAGATATACAGTGGCGATGATGGATAGATGCCGATGATGTTGCAGAGTATGACGGGGACAGAATTCAGATATCGGTCAGCTTCACGTTGAAGTGGCGAGAACAACCAGAAATACGCGTACCGGCGTTGTCGCTCTGTCAGATAGGACGCGTCTCTTAGTTTGAACGCGTGCAACCTCAAAGCGTAAAGATCATACCATAGTTCAAAAAATATAGCCGTGTAGTCGTGAAGAGGCAAGGTGGACGGAGCGGGATAGAAGGGCGCGTTAGAATCAAAGCAAGTCGTCCTAGAGGCCCGATTTGGGAGGATGAACGCTAGCAACGAACACGCGATCCACGTGGCGATTTGTTGGGCCACAATGACGCGAGTGGTACTCGGTGGTGATGAAGTGACAGTCCCTCGCCGTGCGACACAGTTCACGACTACAGCCCTCATTTAGAGAAGCATAAGACTAAAACATTTGTGAAGCTACAGACATGTGGTTTGATTGTACACGGAACTCATTTTTATGCACCCGGGCTAGATATACATTCCACCATCGCCCACATCCCCTCTCCTCCCTCTACCTCCATTAGCAATAGCAGACGCACTCCCTTTCCCTTCCGCCTTCCATGCCCTCCCCACTTTCGTGCCTTCTACTCCAAGCAGACAAGCATCCACACCTTGCATCATATCCCTTGACCAGCCGTCGAGCCCGTCATTAGCATATTCTTCCAGCGACACCGAGCCAGCTGAAGATCGGGAGAGTTCAGAGGACCTAGCCTGCGGGATGTGAGGAGAAGGCAGCAGAAGAAGCGTTGCTTTGATTGGGGGTTCAACAGCAGATGGGGTGGCGAGGGATGCGAGGGAAACATAAATTATGGAAAGGAAAGCGGCGGATGTAGATTGGATGAGATTTGGTGGGGAGAAGGGATGATAATTTGAAGCCTATTTCGGGTGGTCAGATTGGGGAGTTGGGCGATAAAAATCATTAAGTGCGTACGGGTGGTTTACCGCCCACTGTGGATAAGTACCGTACAGGGGCCTCGTGGAAGAGAAGAGGCTGTGGGGTGATGTATACGGGAACAGGGTACGTGTCAAGAAGGGCAAGTCTAAGGAAGAACATTCAGTACATATATAGGCCACAGTAAACGGATCGACCATACCTTGCGGGTTTGAAAAAATCGAGGACACTCTGTGCGTATGGGTTCATGGCCCAGATGGGGAGTGCAGTCGTCAGTTCAGATATGATGATTATAGATTTCGTCCACGATGGAGTGAACACCAGGCCAACCTAGAAATATGACCATGGGTCAGACTAAGACGAACAACGGTGGAATAGGGGAAACGTACTTGGATTTCGTTGACGAACACGCCACCTCTCTGCTGTTCTAAACTCGCGCCTTGAGCCCAAGATCTTCCAGCATCTCCAAATGCAATAATCAGGTCGTTTCCTACCCCTTCGAAGGGTCCAACTCCCTTGATGTTTATGGTGAGAGGTTCGCGAACAACTTTGCCATGCGAGAGGGGGTTGAATTCGTCCTCTTCCTCATCTGATTCAATAGCATAGCGTGGAGGGACAGTATCTTGGAGAGGATCTGTATCCTGCATCATCAGCCGCGCATTTAGATTTTATATTATACGCAAAAATGATGAAGACTGACCATGGTTGATGAAGAAAAGAGCGCGAATGCAGACGCCACACTGTCGAGGGTGACGACAGTGCTCGGAAGCGGCGGGCCGGGATAACGGACGGCGTCTGGATGGTTTCGGTTTGGCAGTGAACGCATTGATTCTCTTCAAGTTCTGCCGTGTCCGATGTTGGAAACGTTCGCGAGCTGGCTGCTGGATGACGGCGGCGACGGAGACGTCGACCCGAGCCTCCCTCCTGGCTCACCTCCAACCTGTATGTTTTGTCTTACGACTGTTCCAATGCTGACAGGCTGAATAAGTACTTCCTTCTAGACAAGTTCGAAGGACCATGGTTCACCACGCAGGCCATCCTGTCCACCACCATTGGACTCCTCTCCTTCCTTATCTTCTGCTTCTGCCGTATGAGATGGCCCATCCTCTTTGCCCCGAGAACGAAACTCAAAGGTCTGTCCACCTTGTTCTTATCCTCTGGGATACTCCTTAAACCTGTCCTTGCCACACAGGATTCTCGCCACATGAGGCCCATGCACACCAAGCGTTCTTTGGATGGATCATACCTACCCTCAAAGTTTCGGAGTTTACTGTGCTTCAGATTGTTGGCTTGGACGCTGCTGTCGTGCGTCGTCACTCTTGTCTTGCCTCTAACTGCGCAGCATAACTGACAGGGTACACTCTCCTTAGCTTCTCAATTTCTTCAAGATGTCTTTCTATCTCTTCTCACTATGCTCATTCTTTTCTGTCGCCGTGTTAATGCCTATCAATGTCAAGGTGAGCTCTCTTTGTTGTCGCGTCCACCAATATCGGTGGACCTACGTCAGTGATATTGTGGCCCCGACTTCGACGGGTCATTTGAATCCTGCATGTCAATTCTAACATTCATACCGGAGGATTTTCCGTATACTGGAAAGTCGTGAAAAATCCACACAAAACCACGGCTAACACGTCTTTCCAGAATAATATCGGCATCGGTGACGAGCCCGACGACGATTGGAGCAGTCTCGACGACCCAGGAACGGGCAATCCCCCACCAACCAAACAACGCGACTGGCTCGACCTCATCTCAGACGCCAACTCCTATCTCTCCGTCCACCTGCTCTTCACATACCTCATCACCCTCATCGCCCTCCGCTTCATCTATCAGAACTACCGTCGCTTCATTCGCGCTCGCCAGCTGTTCTCCCTCGAATTAGTCCACTCGATCGCAGCCCGCACCGTCCTCGTCAGTGGACTTCCGCCCCACCTCCGCGGTGAACGCGCCCTGGCAGAGCATTTCGAGAACATGAATCTCAGCGTGGAGAGTGTCAGCGTGACGAGAGAGGTTGGGAGTTTGAAGAGCTATCTGGATAAGAGGACAAAGGCGCTGAAGAAGCTGGAGAGTGCGTGGGTGGACTACGTGGGCAATCCAAGCACGGTGGAAAGTTATGATCCATCAGACCAGGCACTTTCGGGTGAGGCAGATCCGGGCGTTGTTGAATCGCAGTCGCAGTCAAACAATGTCGTGGTGCCACACAAGAAAAGGCCCACATTGAGGCCGGGTTGGTTCAGCAAGAAGGTGGACGCGATTGAGTATTTGGAAAGCGAGTTCCAGAAAGCGGACGAGCTAGTTAGAAGGAGACGGAGAACCGCGAAATTGAAGGCAACAGATTCTGCTTTTGTCACATTTGAGAACATGTCTAGCGCAGTACGTCCTCCTTCGTCTACCCTCGTACTCCGTTCTCGTTCTGAATACCTTATCATAGCAAATTGCTGCCCAAACAGTCCACGCTTCGACCCCCTTCCAGTTAACGACCAAACTCGCCCCCGAACCGCGCGACATAGTCTGGTCGAATATGACGCACTCTACCAACTCCATTCGCGCTCGCGAACTCCTCGTTCTTACCTCGATTGCCTTGCTCTTCTTCTTCTGGATTATCCCCATTACCGGTCTCGCTGGGTTGTTGAGCTACAAGGAAATCAAGAAGACGTGGCCCTGGCTGGGACGTGTCATTGACAAGAACCCTCAGATACAAGCTATCGTGCAGAATTCACTGCCTTCGGTGGCTATGATGGGGTTGAACGCATTGGTCCCGTTTTTGCTTGAGGGTGAGTGTTTTCCGGTATCTTTGTCTGTCTGAGCTTGTGTGCGGAGAATGAGATGGTCGACTAACTCGTCATGCACAGCTCTTACTTATATTCAAGGGTACAGAGCTCGGAGCTGGATTGAATTCTCGCTTATGAAGAAGTACGTCGGACTGTTCTTCCTAGTCATTCCGAGATTCAAATGTTGAGAGCTCGGTGTCCCAAAGATACTTCCTCTTTCTTCTCGTCAACGTCGTCTTCATCTTCCTCTTAGCCAGCACATACTGGCAACTCGTCCGCGACCTTGCCAATTCTCCAGCCAAGATCCCAGAGAAGCTTGCGCAGGCACTTCAGAAGGGTCGTGCGAGGTGAGATTTTACCGTTCTTGTCCATGGTAATCCCTATCAGACAGCTGACTTGTCTGGAAGGCATTTCTTCCTGTCATATGTTATTCTTCAAGGTATGTAACAAGTCGCATGCGATGCTAGTGTTGCATACTGATCCAGTGAATATAGGACTCGGCATCATGCCCCTTCAGCTCCTCAACTTGGGCGTCATCATTCCCCGCCTCTTCTTCCGCATCTTCGTCACCCGCACACCTCGAGGCGAGTCACAATCTTTCAATCTCTGAAAACTCTCATCCTGATACCACTGTCGATGTAGACTACGCCGAGCTCAACGCCCCGCCGATGATCAACTACGGCGTTGTCTACCCTCAAGCCATACTCATCTTCACCATTACGCTGTTGTACAGTATCGCACAACCCCTCATACTGGTCTTCGGTGCGCTATACTTTGGCATCGCCTACGTCGTCTACAAATATAAACTCCTCTTCGGTATGTCCCCATCCCTTTCCAGCCTCCCATTTTCGTCTCGCGTCCTGAAGCCTCATCCATTCGCTGATCCACTGTAACTCCAGTATTCTACAAACCCTACGAATCTCAAGGCGAAGCCTGGCCCATCACCTTCACCCGTCTAATCTGGGCCGTGATCATCTTCCTCGTCTTCATGATCGGCAACTTCATCCTCAACCGGGGCTTCATCCTCTCCTCGCTCGTCGTCCCGCTCCTGATCTTCACCGTGGGCTGGAGCTGGTATATCGACCGGGAGTTCAGGCCGCTGAGCAAGTTTGTGAGCTTGAGCTCTGTGTTTGAGGTGCAGAGGGGTGAGGAGACGGAGGATGTGGTGAGGCTGAGGATGGGCCATCCCGTTACGTGGTCACAGAGGTGCATTCAGGATTGTTATCCATTTTTCATTTAGGTGAAATACTAATGGAACGACCGCCCTCTTTCTACACCTAACTAGTAATCTGAACCGCAGAAGATATGCACAAAATGACGACACGCTATATGTCGCACCTGAAGACGACCGGACCGACTATGTACGTTCAATGCTCCATGATGAACTCACAAGCAACCCCCCCCCCTCCATTCATAACTTCGCCCTTCTGTTGCCGCCCCTTGAACTAACGCTCTTGCCGCTCCAGTCACAGCCACCTATGGCAAATTGGTATAGCGGTGTCCTTAAGTGCGTATTGTTTCTTTTTGAACGTTTGCCTCAGGGCGTTTCGGGGCGACTTTGGAGTGCAAAACTTCTCGCTCACGTTCGTCTGGGAGTCGCGATACGAGAATGCTAATCACAGCGATCGCATGTGCTAAGCTGACGCTGTCTTGTTGTTTTTCTCGTCTAGCACGGGCAAGAGACGATACGGGCATCCTGCGCTGACTGGTGTATTACCCCATCCTTGGCTACCACTGAAGAAAGGCGAAACGCTCATCAACAGCCGCACCGGTGCCACCTCAAATGGCAATGGCACAAAATCCGACCAGGCCGTCGTCCTCACTCTTCGCAAGCGGCAAAGTATCGTTCGCAAGAGAGTGCAGAGCATCGGAGCAGGAGGCCCAAATCGACAATCGTCTGCGCCTACGCAGCTGCAGACGGGAGACCTTCTTGGTCTCGCAGATGGCGGACAGCAGCAGCAGACGACTGTCGGAGATGCTTCGAGTGGTTCCGCAGGTGTTGCGGGCGATGTAGCCCATGAGGATCCCTGGCGAGACGCTCGACCAGGACCAGCTCGCCGCGTGAATACAGCTCCAAGTGCAGTTCACCATCGTCTCAGCTTTGACTACGGTTCGGGTGTGATAGTGCTGCCTGACGATGGAGACTGGCTGGAGGAACTTGAAGATGAAGATTCAGAAGAGGAGGATTACGGAGCAAGCGTCAGCTCGCCCGCCATTAGCAGAGGCCCATCCTCCGGTGGTGGTGGCGGAGGACCATCGACACCAAGACCACCACTGAACGCGACAGCGTCAGAGGGAGCAGATGTTGCCTCTTCAGCAGCGTCTGCCTCGGAGTCACACGATCCATCATCTTCACCCTCGCGGTTGAGGTATGGAACGTACTACCATCACCCGGAGCGACGACGGCAGACCATTCCGGGTGCTTTCCCGAGATTGGCATCTTAATCAGTGACTCACCTTTCCTTTCCTTCATACTTCGGGATTCGGAGGTTCGTTCCTTCTTAATAACATTTCTTGTGCCTCTCTCATTTCTGATCCATTTATAGGTTATATATGGAGATCTAGGCCTGTTTGCTATGCGTATACCCGTCTTTTTGTAATCTACTTATGCCGATAATGAGCTGGATGCATGATCTGAATAGGTGTATCGTTTACTTCCTCTTGTGCTTAACTTGTGAAGCACTGACCACATGTTGCCATTTTGCCGTCCAGAGAAAATATGTCATCGCCGTGCGACTGCATGCCCGCACCTTTCCGCTGCGCGACGATCTCTTTAACAAGGTTCCACGGTCCAATCTTGAAACGTGCTTCGGGGACACCCAGAAACCGCTCTTTGTTTGTTGGGCTCTCGACAGCCACTTCGACCTCTACTTTGAACCGCGCGGAAAAGTACATACGCAGATACCCATGCGACAGGTGAATCTTCGTGGTTTTCCAGCAGCGTACATGGAGAGCTCGAGAACATGCGAAATATCTCTAATGACTCTTACGGAGATGTGCCGGTTATCTTCATTATCTAATTATAAAGCGCGCTACTCGAAGTTGAGCCGGCACTCTTGGGCCAGCATCCTCAAATTTCTGCCACCTAGACGTGGTGAGACACCTATGATGATCCTGATGGTCACGGTATGCCCACACTATGGACGTGAAAGTATCTGCTCGCCCCCAAGGCCTGAAATTCCCTCTGGTGTACACATCGGCTTTTCTATATCTCTCTGTCAATCCAATCTTGCCAATTCCACTTCGTTCGACAATCTGCGGAAAGACATTTCCTCTATGGGTATGGAACTGCATCTTTGGTGTCTGTTCTCTCATTTGTCGTGACGCTGCTGCCCATGACGGCAAGTACTCCAGAAATGCAACTCGGCATCCTGTTCCCTCCGAACCCCGATATGCAACATGTTGGTGTCAGACCTGCAAGCCCTGGGTTGCTTCGGAGCATTTCCTCATCAATTATTGCACAGCCTGCCTCCCACCCTCTCTATCCGCGGCAGGCGCCTCAACCTCGTGATCTTAGCGCAAATGGAGAGAGCATAATTCACAGATCAATCTCACGTATGCGAGGTTCTGTGAGTCTTCAGAGTCTTCCCGTGGGGAGATCTTGGGTGCCTCCGGTAGTATTCCGATGCAAGCCTTCGGTACCCCGCCGGTGTGGAGCCTGTATAGCTCGGAAGAGCCGACCTTGATGTGTTCCCCGTGCGTCTCACCTCGTTCAATAGTTGGTATCCGTACTGATCCTGTTCTATCCAAGGCGACTTCTGCATAAAATCGCAATAATTGTTCCAGGACTCCCAAAGATTAACCATTATTGGGTCGTTCTCACACATTCGCTATACGCTGGGGACGAAAATACGACAGTCGACAACTACTCAACGTAGAAGTCTGTGTCGCAGGATATCCACATACACCCCGGGGCCTACGCTCTATAAAATGTGTCGCGTCCTGCAGCCAATGCCTCGATATCAACCTCTCCCGAGCTTGACATCGACACAACCTTCCCTCTCCTTCTTTATCATTGAATACATTCATCTGACAGCCATGTCTTCTCCTGCATCCGTGAAACGAGTCGGCATGTTCAGCGAGCTATTTCCACCAAAGTCAACGTGGAATGTCGAAGATGTTCCCGACCTCACTGGCCAAACCATCCTCGTTACAGGCGGTAGCTCCGGCATCGGGAAGGAGATGTCGAGGGTCAGTCTCTCCTACACCCTGATCATATTTCGACCGCTTACAACCTAACTTCCTTTTTCATAGGTTTTAGTGGCCAAGAACGCTCGAGTTTACATTGCCTCCCGCTCCGAACACAAGTCCTTAGAAGCCATCGAGGAGATCAAAGCTTCTACGGGGAAGACGGAGGTCTTCTTCCTCAAACTTGACCTTGGCGACCTTCGCGCTGTCAGGGAGGCTGCAGAAGAGTTCATGCGAAAGGAGTCAGAGCTGCATGTCCTGGTCAATAACGGGTGACTTACCGACTTATCTTTTAATGACTCAACGTATACAACTGACGTATCCTCTGACTGGTTTAGAGGGGTGATGAGCCCACCAGTAAAAGAATTAACGGTTCAAGGGTATGACCTTCAGTTTGGAACTAATGTTCTGGGTGAGCCGTCGAGTCTCGAGTTTGGTTTCGCTCTCAACTGAGTACTCGGCATGAACGCAGGTCATTTCTTCTTCACCTCTTTGTTACTGCCAATCCTCCGTCGCACTGCCACCAACCCGCACAATGAAGCTCATCGTGTCCGTATCGTTGTATTGTCCTCGAGCGCACATATGTTTGCATCTGAGGGAATCCTATGGGAAACGTTACAGAAGGGCGATGTCGCCACAAAAGCGAGGGAGAATAAAGGACATCGTTGGCTTTACGGGCAAAGCAAGCTTGTAAGTCTAATCGACACGGAAGCCTAGGTTTATCACTTATCCGATTCGACCGCCTAGGGGAACATATTAATAGCAAAGGAATTAGCTAGGCGTTTCGGTGACCAGAGCATCGTTACCACGTCTGTGCATCCAGGTGAATCCCAAACAAGTCCAAACTCTGCGACCGTTTATTAAATCAACATATTGAACATGAGACGATCATCTTGTATTCAGGTAGCATCGTTTCGGACATGCAGCGTCACCTCAACCCCATCGCGGTGTGGATCATGCGCAAGCTCCTCGGCTACCCATTAAGTATGGGAATTATTACTCCATTGTTTGCCGCCACCGCTCCGGAGACGTTGGGGATGAATGGGGAGTACATTACTTGCTGGGCACGAAGATCGATCCCTCGAGGCAAGGGGTGTGACCAGGCGCTGTCAGCAAGGTTGTGGGACTGGTGTGAGGAGCAGGTCAAGGGATTTTGAGATACGCGGCATGCTCTGACCATGCCCCCGGGGAGTTTCAGAAGTTCCAGTGTGAAGGTTGTGTCTCGTATCATGCCAAGCCGATGGGTACTCGTATGTATGATACACGAGTCCCGAACACATATATCATGATCGTCGACTAGCTGCAGCAATAACAACATCCGCGGCCTTTTCTGAAATCTGGCGGAACTTCTCTGAGCGTCGCCCTGCATTAGGTGTAATAGACTACTTACCATATACGTTGGTGTGGTGATAAAATACCCAGGGACATCGGGCCAGGAGCTGGCGTCGACGACACGAAGACCTGCAGCACCGCGCACGCTGAAGTTGCCGTCGAGAACGGCCATCGGGTCTACGGCAAAGGACGATCAGATCATCGAGGTCTTGGATGCTCGAATCGTGAGCTTACCATCGTCGGCTCCCATTTTATTAGTGCAGCAGGCATGATGTCCTAAACGAGAGGACGTCCAATCATTAGTGAATACTCAGCGAGTGAAAGGCAGACTGGACGCCACCGACCAAAAACATTCTCATAAATGTACTCATCAATCTCGTCGTCCGTCTGCACCCGCGATCCGGGTGAAGTTTCTCCTTCAATCCACGGAGATACCGTCAAGCCACCGATGATTCCTCTAGCTCGTTTGAGTGCTTCGCGCAGATCTGCGACGTCCTGTGGTCCCTGGGCTGCTTGGAACCTGAGTTTCTGGATGTTCAGGGGGTCTTGGGGGCCTGGACCTGTGAGGTTGACGAAGCCGCGCGATAAGTCTGATCGTTTCTTGTGCTTTGAACTCAATGGATAACCGAGCGCTCCAAGCCAATGATAATGAAAGAGCATGTATATTCAAAGCCATCAAAACAATTGATAAAAGAGGCACGGTGTACGAGAGCATGGGGCAAATCACAAAGGAAAAATGATAACGAGAGAATTCGAGGAGATGAAAGCATACAAACACGATATTACACAACGAAAATGAGCGATGTCCATACAGAGTTCCGGAGGCGGGAATTCTGCATCTAGGTTGCCCTCGGCTCTGGAACCCTGACCATGTTCTGAGCACCAGCCAGCGCCCAGGTAGCGCCAAAATATCTCTTGAATGGCCAACTCTGGGTTACAGACAGAGGGCCCCAGACGTCCTCTTCGCACTTCCAGAAGTGCTTGGGAGTCTCCTCAGGCCCCGCGATGGCAATGACGCTGATATGGTCCGGAATTTTCGCTTCCTCCTCGGCGGATAGTGGGACCAGAGGCTCGTAGTCTCCGTGCTTTGCGAGTCGCATCTTCTCGAAGATCTCCATGATCGCGGGGCCTTCCTCAGTCGAAAGTTTCCTGTCCGGTTCTCCCTACAGAATTGAGAACACAAAGCGGCCAGTTAGGAAAATGGATATAAAACTCGAAAATTCAGACGGAAAGAGGAACAAACGTACCGGTTTGTTGCAGCGAGACATGTAGATCCATTCCGGGTCAAGAGACTGTTTGGCCTCCCGGAAAGTCACCGACCTGATTTTACCGTTCTCCCCAGTAGTAAACTTGGCCTGCACATGGATCCTGATAATCTTCGAAGAACCCTTGGGTCTAGCATAGAATTCCACGTCGATGTGGTTGTTCGGGTCGGGGAGATAGAACGCGGCTCCTACACCACGTTCAACGGTCTCCTTCAAATCTGGGGCCTTGTTGGCTCTGAACCCGAGTGGCAGGCTGCTGCTAGGACCACAACCCCACCCAGCCGAGGACGCGACATACTCGCCATCAACCTTGTAAATGGCGACGAGCTCACATTCGAGATCCTCCAGATGTTTGTATTTCTCGCGAAACAGAAGAAGATCGCCCAACCTGCGGAACTGGCCGCCGAACATCAGCGCGATGATGACCAAGATCTGAAGTTCGTACGATCGTCCTTGCGAACAGGGTTCGGGCGCCCAGCGCGTGGAGTCGCCCACGGCCTTGATCAACTCGTCCTTGCAACGGATCATAAGAGAGAAAATCACCAGCGGCTCGGTGATGGAAACGACGAAGGCCTTTTGTCCATCGGCGCCGCGCGACTCGGACTTGTGAGCACTGCTCTTGTCTGTGCTCCCGTCGTCGGCGCTCCCGTTGCCAGTGGTCCCGTTGCCAGTGGTTCCTTTGCCAGTGGTTCCTTTGCCAGTGGTTCCTTTGCCAGTGGCTCCTAAGCCAGTGCTTCCGACTTTGTCAGTGCTCCCGTCGTAGGTCTCTTCGCAGCGTACATGCCCTATACTAGCCTTGACGAGCTTCAGCTCCTTGTCAGTGACAGTGGACATGGTCCCGGTGGTGATGTAGCGTGCGACCATGTGGATGACCGTCGTCTTGACGTCTAGATTAAGACAAACAGTCAGTTCAATGCAAGTATAATGGTGTAGCGTAATCGAAATACGAACCAGGGGGCAAGGAGTCGTACTCCTTCCAGTCGATGATCGGTCTGATCTCGTTGGCGAGCTCGATCGCTTTGCCTTCGAGGCATGCCTCTTCGCGCTCAATCTGACCTCCATCCGTACACACATAGCCACCAGTTAGACGCAGAGCAAACAGAGTGAAGAGTCGATGAGGACATTCGGTATCGGATCGAAGCACTATCTCGATGAAGCACGCGGTCACTCGATACCTGGATGATTGGGAAAATATTGAGTAAGAAGTGTGATGTGCGACTGCAGAGCAAAGTATGGACACTCACCGGCCGGGAAACAAGTCCAGCATCCGCTGGACAAGCCGTTTGAAGGACTTTACCGGTATTTTGCGCTTTTCAGCCCAGGGCCCAAGATGCTTGAGTATATACTTCCGTTGCTCTTCCTTGTCGTAGAAACCATCTGGAATATAGACCACCTTCAGGCGGGTACCCAAGCGAGCGGTCGTGGACTGCACGGAGTCTATGATTTGGTCCTCAGATAGGCTGATTCCGGAGATGACGGTATGAGTGAATAGGCCGAACCCCGTAAGAACGTTAACCACCTCGGTCAAGAATGAGCGAGGACGATCAGGGTCAGCGCGAGAGCGAAAATGAGAGGTGTATTCCAGTGCGCCAAACTGAGCCTCGTCAATAATCAGGTAGAAAATCTTCATGTATTCTGAGAAGTTGGATTTTAGCCGATGCATGGTAGCCCGAAGGATAGCCCAAATCGCAGATGGAGAAGCGTCTCGAAGGTCGTCTTCCAGGCGCTCGCAGATATCCTGATAGAGTTCAGGAAAGTCCTTGTATGACAGCTCGGGATGAAGCTCAAACAAAGCCCACTGCATCTTCCAAGTCTCAACAGACACAGCGTCTGGTTTGCACTTCAGGAATGCTTCGAGAACGGAAATCCGAGACAGGACCGAAGTCAAGACGCAGGTTCGCACAATTGTCCGATTCTCCCCGAGTTGTGCTGTGTCGCCAGATATTGGGCCGAACTTGGACCTGTCTGCGAGAGAGTTCAGAATGCCGGAACAACTCCGAAAGCCAGGATCGGTGGGATCCTTTCCGAGTTCGGGGGGCCGACAGGAAATACCTAAACCACAGAAGTTTCCAAGGAGGCGTGCACATGTCTGAGTCTTTCCGGTCCCGGAAGCGCCAGAGAGCAGACTTTGAGAGTGTCAGTGCGTTTCGATAACCGAACAAAGAAAGACACGCACGAGACTCGGGCCGAAAATTTGTGTTTAGCTGAAAGATCGGTCTCGTCTTTGTCCATACCGATCAAATCGCGCGCAAAGACCGAACTCATCTCTCCCCCAAGCTTGAATTCTTCGGACAGCAATGATCCGTTCTTTAGGCGATCAAGAAAGGGGTCGTACGTCTGAAAGACATCATCGATAGTCTGCTTGACTTCGTCCGGGCCTCGTTTCTTGGGTGTGTCTGCGCGGGGGTCAATTAAAAATGGGCATCAAGTGAACGTGGATGACGTGACTCACAGGGTTCATCAGATGGGTGCGGATGCTGTGGCCTGGGAGGTGCTGTCTTAACTTGCTCGAAAGACGGCGCAGGGGCTAAAGTGAAAATTTCAGGTTCTTGATTCCAGTGAAGCAATAATGTGGACGTACGATCTTCCGGTGTCGCATCCGTAGTGGGTAAGGCGCATGGCATATGCCTATGGAGGTCCGATCCGAAATGGCCCGAAATGGCCCTTTTTGTCCGGACAAATTTTGGTTCAACTTGTACGCACACGGATCGGGTGGCACCTTTTCAGACGATTTCTGTACTCGTTTTTGATCGGAGGTTGATTTGCGAGGCTATTGTACGAGTATGGGATCAGAGATATATCCAGAAGAGTTTTGTCCGCACTATTGATCAAACCTCAAATCACGAGCTTCATGTGCGCATACAGGATGCAATGTCCCACAGGCAGAATATTGTACGCATAAATGATCGAACATACTATTCCGGTAGTTTTGTCCGCATAACGACAAAACAAACGGGCCTAGCACACATAGCCCAAAGACTATTCAGATATAGTGACACTCTACGCTGCTCCATCAAATTCCGTTGCTTCCTCGCCACCCGAGAACTCCTCATGATCCGCTACCTCTGCAGGAACAGCTGTAGACACTGACAATCGTGCCACAGGCTACGG